ATGATTACGAATCTTTTTCCAATGAATTATACTACTTTTTTTTACTATGTCATTGACACGGTTCTCTCGTTTTTCCAGCGTATCCTATGATCCTTGCCTGAGACCAACAGCTATCCCCAAGAAACGAAGATCCAGTTCGATGAAATTTTGCATCCAGAAACTGTCGAGAACCTCGATTGAGGCGTATACTTCTCCGTTGATAGATCGTATTTTTCGTCATCATGATTGCAACGTGATTAAAATGGACGCGCAATTTTCGTCCGTGGGCAAACATTGACCGAAAGCTTCCAGAAGTAGGGGTTCCTCCAGTATAGCAACCTTGTAATCGTGGAAAGAGATTTTTCCATCACGATCAACGTCTAGTTTCTTCAAGGCCAATTCAGACAAGTCTTTCACTGCCTCGTCTGGATCTTCCTCTCCGGGTTGCTTCATTAAACAATTCCTAAGAGCGGAAATATCATCAAAAAATACACGATGGTTTGTCAATTAGAGGGGTTAGACTATCCCTGAGGCCTGAAAATGATACTTAACTTTGGCATTTTTTTTAATGAAAATAATTGACTTAATCGAAAACTTTTCATGACGATTTTATTATGGTATCTTTGGAGAATATAAAAGTATTTTTTTTTTTTTTATTTAATTTTTTTGCAAAATTGCCTCATGTCGTCCTTTGTTGTCACGCGGTTTTACTTACAATTAGAGCAAAGTCTATATGGCAATTATTAAAGAAGTATGTAAGATTTTTTACAGATATTCAGTTTTATAGAAATGGCGAATATACGAAGGAATTGCATTTTTCCTTAAAATTTTAGTATAAGAATGTTACTTGCAGAAAATGTTATCAATATGTTGCAAAAATTCTGTGTATTTCTTTAGATTGTATGACGGAGAGTGTTTAGCGAAAATTTCAAGTGAATCGGATGAACAGCAATTTTAAAAAAAAGTTTGATTACTGATGGACGTGCTTCGTTAAATCGGCTCTAATAGCATACAACCATTGAAATATTTTAGCAATACTATTTGGATTATATTTTTCAAAGTGTAAACTACCAATTTAAGCAAGGAAAGAAATTCGATTTTGTGAAACCTGAGCGGTGGTCTAACCCCTTAACTCAACGAAAAGCGAACGATAGAATTTTTACTTGAATAATAGGAATATCTCGTCTTTGGTGATGAAACCGTCGTTGTTAAGATCGTAGACTTTAAAGCAATATTCAATTTTTTCTCGCAGAGTGCCGCGAAGATACAAATCCAATCCCATGATCCACGGCTCCAGTCTGATTATTCCTTCGTTCTCTCGATCCCAACAGCAGAATATTCGCTCCACCAAAGCATCCTCTGTGATCACTTTGAACGTGTTATGCAGAAGCTCGCGGAAAATTGTCCTGTCGATTCCCTGCAACATACCCTTTCTTATTCTCACGAGAACGAGTGAAGAATGAAGCGCAAATGCGAGGTAAATGTGATAGAAAGTCAATTAACCCTTTGAACACCTAATTTCCTTTTTAATTTTCTTTTCAACGACTCCCTATTATTTTAAGTATTTTTTTTTTAAATGCACTTTAAAGACATTTGGTTGATAGGAACTTTTTTTTGACTAATTATATTGAAAATAGCATTAAAGGTCCTAACCGTATTTAAACTGGCAATTTAAAAGTTATTTCATTCATAGGAGTACCTGTGAATAAAATTGATGTCGAGTCACACTCGACAAAGGAGTTCAAAGGGTTAACAAGTTACACCTTCTCTAAAAAAAAAAAAAAAAAATACGAACGAATGAAAAAAATCTCTTTTATTAGGTACCAACGTAAACGGACAGCCATCTACTATTTCTGGACATAGTAACCGAGAATCTGTAAAGACTTGTCGCAACGAGAAACCAATTTTCCTTCACTTCGTCAACCGTGCTGAAATTCTTCAAACTCGCGTCTTTTTTCGTTTGGGCAAACACATGGAAATCACATGGTGAGAGGTCCAGACTACAAGGTGGATTCTCATAATTCTCGTTGGAATTTCAGCAACAGCATCTGTGTCACAGTCGGAGAATGTGGTCGGACATTGTCGCAGAGGAGGACCACTTTTCTACCGAGTTTTCCGGGTCATTTGTTTTTTCATGGTTATTCGTAGACGTTTTAACGTTCAACCCTTTGACAGTCTAATGTAATTCCGAATTAGAGTGAATAAAATTCATATTTTACACGTATCTTTTTAATAATCACGTCGTGTGTGATTATTTTTAAAGCACAGTGTACATAACCCTGCGTCACAGTTCTAATAACAATATCTCGTCCCTTCCTAATTTTCTTCCTAAAAGTCTCTCACGAGTTAAACCGTTCGTTATTTAACGCGCTGTCCGAGTCTCACTCGGGATAAACTGTCGAAGGGTTAACAATAAGTGAAAGCGTTAATTGTTCTTCCCTCAGGCATCGATTCGGTGAGAATTATCCTTCTGAATCGAGAATACGGGGCAGGTGTAACTTACTTATCGACTCAGCCTCGTAGATTAATTAGATCAAAGTGAAGAATTATTTTTTGGGGAGGATTTTCATGCAGGTTGGATTGGTAGACAGGAAGGTGGTGATTTTCTAAGCGTTCTTGGATCAAAATGACGTTGATCCTATTTTCGACCGAATTATTTTTTCGAGACGATTTTCACGCAGGTTGGAGTGGTAGACAGGAAGGTGGTGATTTTCTAACCGTTCTTGGATCAAAATGACGTTGATCCTATTTTCGACTTCCTCGTGGATTTACTTGTTGTATTTGCAATTTGTTTAACGATTAAATTGTTGAGAGGATGAAGGGGTTAAGAAGTTGCGTGATTATTCGAAGGTGTACTGACAGGTTCATACACGCGAATTAAAATTGCTATGATTCGAGGCGGTGCAAGTGTCACTACCTCTATAGTCTGATTCGACGGAGGCCTTCTCCCGATAATAACCGATTGTCCTACTTGTTGCTGACCTGGGTTGGTTAGCTTTTTGTACAGCTTGCACAGGTTATCCAATTCTGTCCTGTAACCGTCGAAGAGGAGTTTTAATCAAAACTGCACTTATACTATTTTGAATATTCCATATTACTCTAATCCTTCATTACACGCTTACTTATACCTTTTCGTTTATTCATAAATAAAAATGCGTACGATTTTTTCGATATCTGAATTATTTTAGAAATTATTTTGTTCATTTTCTTTGGCAAAAAGAGCTTTTCCCCTTCGAACTGCCACCATTTCTATACCAATTACAATTTTTCAAAAATCCTACGCCACATTGTAGGTAACAGATTTCTATTTATAAATCAAAAATAATTTTTTTTTTTCAGTCGTTCCAATCCTTGTCGATGCTGGCGGCCAGCAATCGTTGTTCTAGCACAAGGACTTTCGCCATAGCTCCTTCATTTCGTAACATTATTGCTTTCCAAAAATTGGAGAAGAAAGCTGAAGGTTGCATTCACATCTTCTGAAAAAATTGAAACTCTTCATTCTGTAGTTACCTATCAAAAAAATTCCCAAACTTTGCAATCGCGTCTTGCAATTCTTCCCTTTCCGACGAATTTAGAAAATGTTTCGGTTACGTTTGAGAAAAACAATCGACGCTAGAATTAGCGTTTACTTGCCAGGAGAATCTGGTCTTTCTCTTCAACGACTCGATCAGCTTAACGGTGTGCGCCGAGCCTCTCGTTGTCCCGGCGACTGGCATCCTTCTGCGTTGCCTTCGTCGTGGCTCGTGCTTAGGGCTGCCGGAAGTCTGCCTCTTGGAGGTGACGGACGCTTTGCGGCCGCTCATCAAGAAGATCGAGACGCTTTTCATGAGCGTCGCGCCGGCACGAAGGCTTACGCCGCCTTGGCTGTCGGCGCCGACGCCGTCGGCGACGCCGCCTCCGTGATCCATTCGAGGTTTCGCGCTCGACGAGAGGCTGCGCTTCTCGGACATCTCTCTGAAATTTTGCAGCGACAACCTCTCCATCGGTTGCACGGGATTTGTGTTAATTGTATATTCGAGACATCTTTCGAGCTTCTTCTTGGGTGACATGTGTCGGTAAGTTGTATTTCATTTAAACGTACACTTCCGTTCGTGAGTATTAGGACACTTGTTTAATTTGAACAGACATTACAAAATTGTTCAGTTTGGAATTTCGTGGTATAAGGAGCACGTATATTTTGGGTGATATAGGTATCGTCACTTTAATAGCAACCTTGGATAATTCATATTTCACTTACAACGCCATTCATAAGTTCTGACAAAATTTTGCTTACTCTCGTTGCACTTTTTTCGTTAATTCTCGTATCAGTGTATCAGCAGTCGTATTTTCCTTGCAACTGTGGTATGCTGGAAGTAAACAACTTTAGCGGTATTTGGAAATATTAAATGTGGATAAATTTCTATGCCAACTCGCGGTAATAAATTTAGTTGTTCTACTAATAAGTTTGAGATAACGATATGACATTAACTTCGACGAACAAATGTAATTTACACCGTAATATTTTCTGTACGAGCGTAGTATGCGTCCTAACACTTATGTTCGTACAGAAACTATTATACGATTTAACCCTTTATTACAGACATCTGTTTTTCAGACGTTACTACGAACGTATTGTCTCTCAGACTACTTTGATCATTTTATTTAGTAAGTCACTGTGTTGTAAAACTAAATTTAATGTAACTATTTTATTTAAGGTATGTCAATTGAAGCTATTCAAACGTAAGAGCTTCAAAAATTCTTCACATACGTAATTACAATAGTAAAATACAAATTTGGTCTCGTCTCTCAGATGAATAGCCTATAGTTAAAGAGTTAAATTACATTTCTTCGCCAGATTTGCTACCAAATATCAGCAGAAATATGCGTACTTTTCAAATTATGAGATTCCAAGCTGAGTAATGTTTTAACGACTGTTTAGGTTCGCTTCACATTCAGTGTCGTAATACTTATGAACGAGAGTGTGTATTAGTAAGTGGCACTGTGATTAAAATTTGGGCGAGCTGAATGATGAAGTTTCGTTGGAATTTTGGAAGAGATTTAGTAGTTTTAATATTCTTAGGAAATATTTAGTAATTCAATACTTTAGTAATTTTCGTAGAGGTTTCTCTTATTTTTAATTACCTAAATTTAGGAAAATTGGAATATTGTAACGTGAAAGTATGATCAGTAAAAATGTAACAGTGAATTTATATAATAGCTGAGAAAATTTGTTGCATTTCTGGTCCCTTTTGATGCTCATTATCAGAATGTTGAGGAAGAAATATAATTGGTTAATTGATTCTATTCGAAACACTATCGTAAGACGCGTTTCTTCACGTCTAATTATAGCGTTCACAACATGAAACGCAAATTGATCGCGCCAAGACGATAGAAGCTATGGTTACGTATCGATTGATCAATAACACGTGAAACGATTCATGGTCTTCGATTAGAAACCGAATCCCCCGTTGTTTCTTCCTCCAAATCCTCCGACAAAGCTTCTCGTGTCTCCGCACAATTGAACCCGAATGTACCTCGAATTGCCCGCGTTTAAACTACATCGTTCGATCAATGTAAATCCCGGACAATTCCAGAAATTGAAATTTTATCTGTACGAAAATTTTCTACGAGTAATTTAAGCAAAGTACCGAAACCTCTTAGTAATATCTACGAATGAAAATGAAACGAAATTTACATAGGAAGATATTACTTTGCTATAGCACGAGTCAGACTATAGCGAGGTGGTAAAATCGGCCAAGAGAGAAAGTAAACATGTTTCGGGTGTCGAGACAATTGAATTGACAGAGATATGAGCAGTTAAGGACCTGAAGCCTCGGTCAGGATCGTACGAAGATACGTTTGAAGCCCGGTAGCAAATTTATAGTCTGAACCGAATATATTGGTCGGTCACGTGGATTTCTTCTCCGTTGCTTTTCCACACCGACGACCCCCACCAAGCGAGATCTGTATATATAGTGGTTGAACAGATCAACGTCATTGGCCCGTGGGCGTGGTTAACTACTGAACGCTAAAAACGAAACCGAAAAACGGCGGAGGAGAAAACCACGTGACCAGCGAATATATTCGGCTCAGACTATAGCTTCGCCGTTCAAGTGAGTTTTATAAAACATTAACGGCTATTCAGACACAGGGAAAAACTTCCAATATTCCAAATAATAATTAACACGTGAGAAAACCACGTGACCAACTAATATATTCGGCTCAGACTATAGCTTCGCCGTTCAAGTGAGTTTTATAAAACATTAACGGCTATTCAGACACAGGGAAAAGGTCCAAATATTCCAAATAGTAATTAACATTTGCAGATTCTCCACTTGTAAATGAAATACCGTTAGTCGTGAGTGGTAATTCTTTTATTCTGCATAAATTCAAAATGGAGTAAGGTATATGGCCCCAAAGTGTGGCTACGTCAGTTTCAAGATTTAATTTATGACCTCGCTATATCGCGGCCTGTCTCGTGCAAAATCTGATCATCACGCGGTAGAAACTCGTTAAAAAATATGGAAAGTTCCTTACAATGTACGGTATCGTTCTCGAAACAACGATCAAATACCTGTTTCGAGGTATTTCTCGCACGCTTTGTTACGTGGTGCCTGGCACTACGAGCGAGAATCAATTTCAGGAAGATTAATGGTATTTCTGACGCTCGTTCAATTAGTTTCCGCTCGCGAAAATAACAATTTTCGTTCGTACCTCGAAGCAAACGCGCGAATGCAACTTTGCTGTTGTATCATGCTACTCTCTAGTCTCATTTTTCTTCGGTGCGATCGTAGAAACGTTCCGTTGATTTATCGTCGAAAGAACGTAGCCGTGTGTGTTCATTTGACCGTAGCTTAATTGGGTTCAATGGATCAACAGAAGAATGCATCGAATTAACCAATTTGAAATTCAGATATCAGAGGCGCAATTTCACACTAGATTAGATCGCGTCACGATAACAAACACCGTTGCCTTCCAGTTCTCGATTTAGCTTCTCGGAACTTTGCATACACGCGATTCATGAGTCATGCTTAGCAGTTATGGGCATAACTAGTACGAGAAAAGGAAAATAAAACAAGCAGAAATTTCTAAGCGTGATTTTCAATTAATTTTCCTCTGCGAATATCGTGACTTAGGATTTTCGAATTTCGATTGAAAAATTCTATCGGTCCTATATCGAACGATACTCCGAGAAAGCAACTTTACATTTGAAGTGGTCTCAAAATGGTAGACATGTTCATTCCTGGCTGGATATATTGTACAAGATTCGCATTTTTAAGCAAAACTAAGCATCTCTGCTAATCACTTGGACAATCTCTTTTGAATTAATTGTATTTATAGCGTTCTGTTGTCGCAACGATTAGGCAATTGCATTAATAATTACAACTTACCCCTAAACGAGAAACGAACGTTCACCTCGCGACGGTTTCTTTCTTGTTGCCAGCAGTTACCCAACGAAATCGATCAAACTTTCTGGACAATCGCACACAGTGCTTTCATGTAACCGTTGCTTTCGGTAAAAATTCGCGAAAAGTATACAAGGAAAATGATGCAAATTATTTGGTGCAATTTCATTGCAATATTTGGCAGTTTATTGTAATCACGTAAAACTCATTCAAGGATTACAGAAATTTGAAAAAAAGCACAACTATATTTAAATAGCAAAATAATTCACGAACGATGTTTTAAAGTATGGATACTTTCTTGGGTTGATTCCACGATGCCAACTTCCCAGTATTGTTCACGTTCGATAGAGTACCCCTAGTGGAATGGTGCTTCCTGTAGAAAAGAAATCAGTATTAAACTTCCATTAAGTGGAGATTCATCACCTTGATGAATAAAACAAAAAAGGAAAAATTTGGGAATTTTTTCATCGATAACTACTCAATGAAAATTCCTGCATTTTGTAAGATTTTTACTTTTCAAAAATTGGAGGAGAAAGCTGAAAGTTACATGTATATCCTCTGAGAAAATTGAAATTTTTCGTTCAGTAGTTAGTTATAAAAAAAATTGTTTAGAACATTTCATAAAAAGAAAAAAAGATGTAGAAATCATTATCCAACCTGCAAAGTCTTTCAAACACTCTTCTGACGAAGGTTAAATGATTCTGCATCCGTATCAGAACATTGTCCAAAGATTGCGTGACATTCTTCGTCTTCTCGTTGCTCTGACTAACTCGCTGATAGTCAGATCCTTCCAAATCTTCTAACACATTAACGAGATTTCTCAGACCGTTGTCACGTTTTAACTCCGGTTTAACGGACGTCGATGACGCATCAACGTCCTCGATCTCGCTAATGGCGAGATTAATATTCTTCAGCGTGATGGTTCCGTCTCGAACTAATTCATTCAGAACCACGATCAAGTCCTTGTACAATTGTGCCTGTAAATACTTTCTCCTCTTAATTTAAACAAAGATAGAAAATTAGAGGATTTCTGGATGGTCTCACTTGCCTCGTGTTGCACGAGGTTGTTCAAGTTAGGAAAATCATTGAGAAGCTTGTCGAGCTCGTGGTTTCCTAATAGGGCTATCTGCTTAGTCAGGATGGTCTTTATGGTGCTTTTTACGTCAGAGTCGTCGTTTCCGGGGAACTCGCGGTCGGCAACACGATGAACTCGAATGATTCTCTGCTGGTCCATGTCTGCTTGATTCTCTTTACGATTGAAAAATAGAAGATAATAAATGTAAGACAATCGTGAGTTGAAATTGTTGAAAAGTTTCAATAATTTCTTTACCTTTCGACTCTAATTTAGCGAACGATCCACGTTTTGTCTGTTAAATAAACGATCTTTGTTTATGTTTACTTTCGTCGGAATTGGAGAAATTTGAGTTTTACTTACTTGACAGAGAAGTATCAGAAGTAAGATCAATGTAGACTTCATTTTTAACGACACTCTGCGAGGATTTTGAGGGGAGAATTAATCGTGTGTGGATGAAACACGTGAATGGTCGCCTCTGGCGAAGCCGTGGATTTTATAGTGGCGATATGTTTGGTTAAATGAACAATGGTATGCTGTATTTTATAAACATCCTAGCAAACATCCCGATAAAGTATAACGCGGATATATCGTAATGAAATGTGCTGGCCTATTGTGAATACTAAGCGTATGCATCGTCGAAACGTTCTTTGACGTTCAATTACATCGATTGGGATATATTTCTCGACATAAATTAGGACACGTACTTCACTGATAGGAAATTTCGGTAATGTATTAGGTCGATGCAAGTGAAATGTCACATGTATTGAATAGTAAAGAAAATCATAATACAATTCGGATGGATAATCAGGATACTCGCGTAATTTTTTTTATATAAACTTAAACTTGGAGAAACTGCAGAAAGTATAAATTTAGCATTTGAGGAAGATTATGTTAGGACAGTTGAACTTTGGTGTGAAAAATTCAGGATTAATGACATTTCATTGGAAATGAGGTACGAGGAAGGCCAGATAGGATCGTCGATGATAACGTTCAAAGAAGAATTATTTTAGACTTTTCTTCAAACGGACCACCATTTCGTCAAGCACCTGAACAATTTTTTAACAAATAAATTATTCCGAAATGAAGATACTGTAAAAGTAGCATTCAAAGAATTTATCCATTCAACGATTTTTGGAAGATTACTACAAATTTGGAATAATGAAACTAGTTGATCATTGGGAAAAGTGTATTGAATTATTTCGATTGAATACATTATCTTTTGAAGAAACACAACGCGTCAAAAAACGACCAACCTAGTACAATTCTTAAAAGGAAAAATATTACGTAGGTGTTGGAACAAACAAATTACTCAGACGTGGTTGTATAAAAGTTTATTTTACAAAATACTGTTCGAGCCGTGGGGAAATAATGTACAAAATTGAGCAACGTAGGCTAGGTCATAATCGAGAATCCATATTCCAAGGAATCAATGTTTCATCGCCCGTATCCAGCAGATCTGCAACATACAAAAGAATAATTTACAATGAAGGAAAAGACACACACACGAGTATTGTATTTTTTGCCGAATTCAAAGTGACAAGTATTTACCCAGCCTTCGCGCTCGCGAAAGAAGCACTTCCAAATGGCGAGCTAATGGAGCCAGCGTGTGCAGAGCTTTGTGCCGAGCTACCCCCATAGCCACCATAACCACCTTGGGGATAACCGCCACCATAGCCTCCATGACCACCATAACCTCCCTGGCCACCATAGCCCCCTTGACCACCATAGCCTCCCTGACCACCATAGCCTCCCTGACCACCATAGCCTCCCTGACCACCATAGCCTCCTAGACCACCACCATGGCCACCTCCATAGCCACCCCCATAGCCACCCCCATAGCCACCCCCATAGCCGCCTCCAAATCCACCGTGACCGCCAAAACCGTGGCGATGTGGTTCTGGGTTCGCTTCTCTAACCTCTCTGGTTAATGGAACTTCTGAAAATAAGAATAGAAAAGTTTGGAAATATTTGTTTTGTTTCTTTTTTCATTGTGACACGTTATGGTGTTCCAAGGTGATTTTGTTCGAAAGATAGGAATATCGAGGAATTTTCGAATTAATTTTTCTCCGAGGATTACGAAACCTTGGATTGATGTAATGTGTAGGTAGAGGAAAAGAGACTAACATGTACGGTGAGAGGCAGCAGGAAGTAGAAGATGGCATCGACCTTCAGAGGAAGTAAGGTCACGAGGCGGTTAGTTTTATCGGTTTGTTAAGAGACCGTCGGTTAGCCGTACGTTAAACGATTAGTCATAGCAACGAGAATATTTTGATCCAATCGACGTGACGTGAAGCTTGTTAATCACTTTGGCTTATTGATAACACGTGCTGAGACGTAAGATGGAAGTTATGTGATTATCGAAGTGGTATTAACTGATTGACGTACGACTCTGACATTCGCGGGCAGTGGGTTTTTCGTACGAACAGTATGCATTTCTTATGTTCCTTTTTGTTTTTTTCTCGGTAGTGCTTTTGTATATTTTCGGTAATTGTATTTATTTTGAAATCCGAAGTTTCTTTGCTCTTCCAATTTTTTCTGAGGAGAGATGCAACAATTACAATTGTTCCAAACTTCAGTTTATTCCAATTAATATTAAATTTCCTCTTCTAAAAATCAAAGTTTTCCAGGCCTTTCAAAATTAAAAAAATCCCAGTCTTTCTGCCTTTTCAAAATTTTCAAAATTTCAGTTTTTCAGCCTTTTCAAAATTAAAAAATCCTAGTTTTTCAGCCCTTGCAAACTTTAAAGAATCTGTTTTCCAGCTCTTACGAAATTTTAAAAATCCCAGTCTTTCAGCTCTCGAAATTTAAAAAATTCCAGTTTTTCAGCTCTCCAAATTTTAAGTATCTCAGTTTCCAAACCTCTCAAAATTTAAAAAATCCCAATTTTTCAACCCTTTCAAACTTTACTTCTCCAAATTTTCCTCAGGGCAGATGCAAACACCACAATTTCCCCTAACTTGAATACATTCCAATTACTAATAAAATTGTTCAACCCTGTGAAACTTCTCCCCAGGGAATGTCAAACATCTCGAAGTATCACAATTTTTCCAAGTAGATACAGTACCTTGTCCCTCAGCGTCAGGGTTGGCGGGAAAAGCAAAACTGGTGGCCAGCACCGAGACCAAAAGGACGAGCACAATCTTCGACATGATCCTTCTCTTCTCTGTCTTCTATATCCAAATTATTTCTTCACTAAGAAGCTTCTTCGATGCCCGAGTGAGAAATGACGATGAGGAAATTCAGAGGGAGGTCTTTATATACCAACTGTGAGCTTCCTAAGTGTGTTGGGATGTCCCGACGCATTTACGTAGGTACAAAACAGGTACTCTTCACGAGAAACAGCCGCATCTCATTAGCACTGACGAACCTTCTCTGTGTGAACGTGTTGGACGCGGTTTAACACGCTACCAGTGATCATCGGAGTCTGACCGTGGCTAAGCGACAAAAGACCATGATCTGTCGATAATTCATGTGATTTTTTCACTTCCGTCGTTTCGACGAATTTCTGCACCGATGATGAATCTACTAGAGGAACGGGTTCTTTGGATCATCCTTTAAATCACTTTTCGCGACGTTCCTTTGGTACGTTTACGTTCTTCATTGTTACAATTTTGCTAGAATTTCGTGCTCTAACTTGTAACAGAAAGCGATCGAATTTCGAACTTGTTTAAATGGATGCAATTAAACCTGAGCCTGTTGTGTTAATTATTGTTGGGGACAGCAGATTATCTCAAGTTTACGACCCGGTCGAAATACTTGCTATTTTTGAGAATACGAATATTTTATTTTATTATCGTGCACTTAATTTTACGATCAGGAGAAACGCTTAATTGGTTTTTAAAAACATGGCCTCTCATGTTCAATAGCAACTCACTCGACTGACAAATACGTGCATGTCAATAGATGACATAGGGGTTTAAAGGGTACACAACCCTGAGGCGTCCAAAAATAGGCAAAGTTTGGGAATTTTTTTCGCTGCTACTACTAAACGAAAAATTTCAATTTTTTTACAGGATATAAATGTAACTTTCGGCTTTTTTCTCCAATTTTTAAAAAGTGAAAATGTTACAAAATGGAGGAGTTTTCATTTAATAGTCACCTATGAGAAAAATTCCCAAATTTTTACCTATTGTTAGAATTCTCAGGGTGGTGTAGCTTCTTAACGGATTTTTCCATTACTCTTGACCAGCATGTGATCGCTGATGAACCGTTAAGTTGTACTTGACGCATCGACGACACGTGAACGACAGGATTAAGACGTTAAATTTTTTTCATCTCAAGGAAAATTTTCCTACTTTTTTCCATTTTCACTAGGACACATATTTTCATGGACAATCAAATATAGCAGCATGAGTTAGTTAGAATTAGAGTAATTATTGCTACTGAATCCTGAATATTAAACCCAGTGCGTTCTTTTCTTGGGTCAAAAAAGACCCAAAAAAGACCTTACCTATGTGTAACAATTTTTTTACCAGCACACCATACGAACCTAGATAATAAACTTTGAATACAACGTTAGGGGAACATAAACCTGATAATAACAAAAGTTATTCGAGGAATAGGAAGGCGGTGGGTCGAAAAAACCCCCGAAGACCGCACTAGAATTATGGCGATTCTCGTAATCCTGCGCTTCCTGTACTATTGCACATACTTGAAAAATACAGTGACTCTCTGAATTTGAACATTACATACATTCCGGGATTACTGAATCACACGCGATTACTGGAATACGTGATTTGCGCTTTGTACAACGCAGGTACTATTTGAACTCGAACGTATTTACAGCCTAATTGTTAACGTTACTAAAAAAAAAAGTTTGTTTGCTATATAATCAGCCTTGCTACAACGTGTGGAAGTCTACAACCATAGTTATCCGCGTTATAATTAACACAGAATTATTAATCTTTAGTATAAATGAATTGAAATTCGCTGTTTAAGAGAACCACTTGTCCACACCTAATGAGACGTTAATTACAGTGAGCGGTCAAACGGTGAAATTCTTAGTCCATGAATTGCACAATATTGATGCAGCATTTGCACGTAGAATTTAAAAGTAGTTTAACTGTGGTTTCTCGTCGGAAAAGCGCAATTTCACGCGTGCAGCGTGCTAATTGAGACCTCTAGCCCCTGGGATTCCCCGAACGGGAACTGGATGGCTCACGAAACTGGTAGTCACCTTGCCTAGGGCCCCGCGGTCGTTGCCTGGGCCCGTCGCACGGCGCCTTACATAACCTTTTCTAAATTGGATCAAACGACTTGAGTGTTTTTGAGAAGTTAGAAGGATTGGTATACTAGATGACGTGTATAAAATTTTTTGAAAATATTGCAATTTGTGGGAATCGCGAAGAAAATTGTAAAGATCATTGTTTACAACTTTTTTACCTGAGTTTCTAACGAAAATTTAAAACATACGTTTTGTAGATTTATGTCAATTATACATGTCTACGTTCGGCAAACTACAAAGGCGGGCGCGAGGCTCGAAAACGTAGTCCCTGACTCTACAAGTGTCAGGTTTAGGTTCCTTGCGGACTGACACTTGTGGAGACATTACTGTATAGGCCGAACGTCGTGAAATAATGGGATTTTCAAAATCTTTGACGATTTGTAGATTTCGATCAAATTTTCAGCATGCGTATAATTGGCATAAATCTACAAAACGTATTTTTTTAAATTTTCATTACGGGCTCGGATAAAAAAATTGTCGAATGTGACCTTTACAATTTTCTTCGCGATTCCCACAAATTGCAATTTTTTCAAAAAATTTTATACGCGTCATTTAGTATACTAATCCTTCTAACTTCTCAAATAAACTAAAGTCGTTAAGTCCAATTTTTAAAAAGTTATACTGTTCTAAAGAGTGTCCGAATATTAGTAAGAGTCACCGTATATAGTCATTTCGAAGCTGTTGGAATGAAAAAGAAAAAAAGAAGAGAATTTTCAAATTGTAAGATTTGAGTTATCTCGATGTAGGATCGACACAAATTTCATAGGAGATTAATAAATTATTGAAACGAATGGAAAATAGAAGATGACGACGAATAGTCTATTTTAATCGTGCCTTTTTTCGAAATTCACAAGGATCTGTTTGATTTATGCATCTTTGGAGGTTGAGATAGTTTCGAAGGCTGGCATTTACCAAACATTCTTATTATTAATTTATACGAAACTGACGATCCTTCGAATACAGAATTGGAAGATATAATATTTATAAAAATTAACGAAATTTCTGTTTTTCGATCCTTCGTGGAAAAATAAGAAGTTGGAAGAGCACTTCGTTGCTACTGGACTATGTTTAATACTATTTTTTTGTAGTACTATTTGATACATTATACATGTTTATGTATTAAGATATTTCTCAATTTTGTCTTCACTTGTATTCAATTATTGGATAAATTTTGTATCGATCGATAGTTACACGTTCATAATTGAAAATTTCATTTTTTTCAAAAATTAGATTTTCTATCAATCGACATTTCTACGATCCCATGTTAATTTAAATTACTAATATTTATTTTCAAAGACAATATATAGCTATAATTATAACTCCCCAAATTGATCGTAGTCGTATATTCAATTATCGGATAAATTTTGTATCGATCGATATTTCTACGATTATAATTTAATTTAAATTAGAAACAAGAATAACGAACACATACATTAGATTGCACGTAAATGTCAACTAGTCCACTGTTATCTTTTTCAAACACCATTACCCTCTTTTGTTCATTTCGAATATTTCACATGGTGAAACCATCAAGCATAGAAAATGAATAATTCATCAAGAGGGAACAATAACACGGAAGAAATTATTCCCCGAGGACCATAAGTGAATTTAAAATTTAAAATGTATCTACGATGTGTGGGACGGTGAATAATTTCTCGCGTTTTATTATTTTCGAGGAAGAACGACAGGAAATTTTGAAATCATAGAGTAGAAATGAATTCTACGTGTAGGAGAGCATTCGATGAATCACGGAAGTGTTATTACGAAGGAATTGTGTAATAACTAATTGGCTTTTATACGTCATCTCAAGGTTTCCACTACGGCAATCTAACTTTAGAGAATGAATTTGAAGCGTTTTTCGTGCCGCGACTTCTGTCACGTTCGCATTGTCTATAAGTTGCTCTTCCTATTTTAGACGCATTGGAGAGCAAAGAAATTACGTCAATGGTAAAACCGGACCGTGTGGACACTATTTAAACACTCCATCGTGCCGCTTCTGCTTTCATAGAGTGTTTGAGTTGGGATAGTTTGGTGTTTAGCGTTCTTCAATAATTCTTCGGTCCGCTAAAATATTGTCGAATTTTTGGAATCACTGCAAACAAGTTTACTTACGATTCTAATGTCATGGACCGCAGTGTATAGTTGGTGAAAGCGATTCAGTTGAATCGTGAATTAAAGCGCTAAACGCAGACACCGATTGATGTGGTCCCAAGGCTGTCTGTCATTTGTGCCGGTGATTATGATAGTAATGAAAAATATTTTTCCGTTGTGGAACAAAATGTTTCACACAATACATGCTCTTCCAATATAAAATTTTTCTATTCTTGTAAATTTTTATGAGCGACTTGTACGAAAATGTGTTTTTTACCCTTTGAACTCCAAATTTTTTTTTTAATTTTCTTTTCAATAATTCCCTATTATTTTAAGAATTTTATTTGAAATGCACTTCAAAAGACATTTGGTTGATATGAACCAATTTAAATAATTGTTTTCACTAATTACAGTAATGTCTCCACAAGTGTCAGTCCGCAAGGAACCTAAACCTGACACTTGTAGAGTCAGGGCTACGTTTTCGAGCCTCGCGCCCGCCTTTGTAGTTTGCCGAACGTAGACAAGGACAGCGAATAAAAGATAAGGATAAAACGTGAGTCGAGGCAACTAAGCGATTTAAATACCAACTTTTTTAATTTTACGTTTTTTTATCCCGAAATTTTTCTTAACATATTGATGAGATTTTTCTGATGAAAACTACATCAAACACGACATAATTTGAACAACATTTACTTATTAACAAGTTCACTGTCACGCCAGATATTTCATGGAGGTAGGCCGACATTAAATTAATTACTCAATTAGTATTAATAAGTAAATGTTGTTCAAATTATATCGTGTTTGATCTCATTTTCATCAGGAAATCTCGCCAACGTGTTAAAAAATATTTCAGATGAAAAAAAGTAAAATTAAAGAAATTATATTTGTCTATTATGAATTGTCAAACCGTGAAATCTCGTAAA